GTCTTTTAACTTGAACTAATAATAAAATGATGAAATTAAATCATTTTGCTTCTTTTTATTTTGTTCTTTAAGTAACTAAAACAATAAAAATATGAAGAAGTGCGAGAATACGAAAGTTGTTCCAGCACAAGTAGCTTTTGAAGAAAATATCTTGTTAACATTCAGTGTCTACCGTTACAATTTTCACTTGTTGGAACAAATTGCTTGAGATTTTGGTTAACCCACTACAAGATTAAGAAATTAATGGAATAAAAAAATGCACCACCACAAGAAAGACAGAATTTACATGGTTCAGCTCCAATTTAATTGAGCCTATGTCCACGGGCACTCATAAGGAAAAATTCACTATTAAAATAGGGAGATACAATTTGTGGTACTCTCAGAAAAATACCCAATCCCCAATTACACACAAATCTTACTCACAGTATTTTTGAATGTGAGACACATTCAAAAAACATTCAGCAAAGTAATTTTAACCACTCTACTCTTGCTCACCCTCACCCGAAGCACTCACAAAACTCTTTTATTTTCTAGAGCTCACTTTGCTTTGGATTGCTCTTCTTGGTGTGATTTGCTGAATGGCCAAATGGCCTTTTATAGCCAAATGCCAACCACCCACAATGAATGCAATGGGCTCCAAAGTCATAATTCAACCATGCACAATAAATGTTGCATGGACAAAGTTGCAACAACCAAATTTTCATTTCAAAGGCTGCCATGAGACTTCCAATTTTTCAACAAAATTGGGCTGCCATGAGATTTCCCATGCAACCAAATTTCAAAGGCTGAAATTTGCATGCTTTTTCAACCACCATGCAGAACCCACATGCCGTAACAATCTCCACCTTGGCGAGCATTCAAAAAAATAAGATTTAGAACCAATAGCTTCATTCCCTTGGTGCCATAATGCCTCGAGGGGCATTAAGCAATTTGGACACTAATTAAGTCCAAGCAATGCTTGAACTTGATTCCACTTACTTGCTTTGTCATCATATCCGCAGGATTCTCGTCAGTTGATATCTTTTCAACGAGCACATCTCCATTGGATATAACCTCCCAGACAAAATGATACCTAACTTGAATATGTTTGGTTCTCTTGTGGTACATGGTGTTCTTCGTCAAGTGAATGGCACTTTGACTATCACAAAACATCATCATCTCATTTTGTTCTACCTCGAGATCACTGACCAAACCCTTTAGCCATAATGCTTCCTTTACTACCTCAGTAATTGCCATGTACTCTGCCTCAGTTGTTGACAAGGCGACTGTCGATTGCAATGTAGCTTTCCAACTAATGGCACACCCTGAAAGAGTAAAGACATATCTTGTAGTTGATCTCCTTTTGTCCAAATCACCGGCAAAATCAGAGTCGACAAATTCGACTACATTTCCATTTGGATTAGCACTCCGATCATAGACTAGTCCAACATTTGTCGTACCTCATAAATACCGGAGGATCCACTTCAGAGTTTCCCAGTGTTCTTTACCAGAATTAGCCATATACCGACTAACCACACTAACTGCATGTGAAATATCAGGACGAGTACATACCATAGCATACATTAAGCTCCCAACAGCACTCACATAAGGAACACACGCCATAAACTTCTTCTCCTCCTCCGTTTCTGGTGACAAATTTGATGAAAGCTTAAAATGTGCTCCCAAAGGAATAGTCACAGCCTTAGCTTCATGTAAGCCAAACCGCTCAAGTACTTTTTCAATGTACTTCTTTTGAGAGAGAAACAATTTACCTCCCTTGCAGTCCCTATGAATCTCCATTCCTAAGATCTTCTTAGTTGCACCCAAGTCTTTCATCTCAAACTCACCATTAGCCTGCTTCTTCAAATCATCAATGATTAACATGCTTTTGGTAGTAATAAGCATGTCATCAACATACAATAGCAAGTAAACCCAAGAACCATCTCCAAGCTTTTTACGATAGACACAATTATCATAGTTGCTCTAAGTGAATCTACTCTAAACCATGAAGTTGTCAAATTGTTTGTGCCACTATCGAGGTGACTATTTCAATCCATATAAGGATTTTTGGAGCAAATAAACATGATCTTCTTTTCATGAAACTATGAACCCTTATGGTTGAGACATATAAATTTGTTCCTCCAACTCACCATGCAAGAAAGCAGTCTTCACATCAAGTTGCTCTAAGTCAAGATCATATAAAATAACCATGGCAAGTAAAATAGGGATAGAGCTATGTTTCACCACAGGAGAGAATACCTCATGGAAATCAATACCTTCTCGTTGTGTGAAACCCTTCACAACCAATCTGGTCTTGAATCTGGGTGTCTCTACCCCTGGGATTCCTTCTTTTCTCATGAAGACCCATTTGCATCCAACAATGCTTTGTCCCTTTGGTGGCTTCACAAGCTTCCATGTTTGGTTCTTATGTAGAGACTCAATCTCCTCTATCATGGCAGCAAGCCAATAAAGAGATTCTTTACTGGTAATTGCTTCCCAATAAGTGTTGGGATCCTTAGCCTCCACTGGTTCTGTAACTGATAGAGCATAGGGAACATAATCTATATAGCCATATCTCTGAGGTGGTTTGGTCTCCCTCCTCTGTCTACTAGTAGCAATATTATACTGCTATTGTGTTTGTTCAGGTGCCTCCACCTCCATTGGAGTATCTGTTAGCTCTGGATCTTGCACCACATCTAGATTCTCTTGGACAATGTTGTCATCTCGCATTGCCTTTTCTGGAGTTATTGCTTCAAACTCCACCTGCTTACTAACTCCATGGTTTGGCTTTGCAATTGTTGACTCCTCTTTTACTTTTTGGAGCATAGCAGACTCATCAAAGGTTACATCTCTACTCATGAGGAACCAAGGTGATTTCTGAACACACCACAATCTATAGCCTTTTACTCTGAAAGCATACCCTAGAAATATGCACTTCACTACCCTTGGCTCTAGTTTACCATCCCTAAGATAAGCATACACAGGATAACCAAATATCCTCAACTGTGAATAATTAGTAAGAGAACCTGACCATAATTCTTCTGGAGTCTTTAATCCAATTGCTGTGGATGGAGACTGATTTACAAGATAGCTAGCATGATTGACAGCTTCTGCCCAAAAGTCTTTTGATAATCCAACATTTGAGAGCATACACTGTGCCCTTTCCAAGAGTGTACGATTCATCCTTTCTGTAACACCATTTTGCTATGGTGTCATCTTGACAGTGCAATGTCTCACAATTCCATTATTTTTGCAAAAAGTATCAAACTCACCACTGTAGTACTCAAGACCATTATCTGTTCTTAGACGCTTGATTTGTTTTCCAGTCTTCTTCTCAATCAGCATCTTCCACTGCTTAAAGGTGAGGAACATGTCACTCTTACTCTTTAGGGTGTATACCCACACCTTTCTTGAATAATCATCAATGAAGGTCAACATATACACAGCTCCACCTTTTGATGCAATAGGTGAGGGACCCCACAAGTCTGAGTGAATGTAATCAACTGTGCCTTGAGTTCGATGAACTCCTTTGCCAAACTGCAACCTACATTGCTTGCCATAAACGCAGTGCTCATAGAAGTCTAGCTTGCCAATTTTTTGGCCACACAAAAGACCCCACTTGCTCCTCTTTCACTCATATGCCCAAGTTGCATATGCCATAATCGAGTTACATCTCTATTTGGACTGCTTGAAGCTGACACAGCATATGTGCCATTGACTGTGCTTCCTTGTAAGTGATAAAGACCACCAACTTTCTTCCCCTTCAATATTACAAGAACTCATTTAGAGACTTTAAGAACTCCACCTTCACAGGAGTATCGGCAACCCTTGGAGTCAAGCTCACTCATGGAAATGAGATTTTCCTTCAAACTTGGCACATGACGAACGTCGAATGTTCTAACCATCCCATTGTACATCTTGATCTGGATGTTGCCAATTCCAACAATAGGCAATGTTGTATCATCACCAAGAACCACCGTGCCAGTGGCTGGTTTATATATTTCAAACCAGTCACATTGTGGGCATACATGGAATGAGAAACCCGAATCTAAAATCCATTCCTCATCGGAGGAGTTTGTAGAGATAGACAGAACACAATCTCCATCATATCACTGCAACTAGAAATGTTGGCATCACCAGATTTTTTAGCTTTGTTCTCCTTGAGCTTGGGACAATTTTTCTTGACATGTCCCGTCTCATTGCACTTATAACATCGAGCATGCTTGGCTCTTGATTTGGATCGAGACTTCCTCGCTTGTTGAAAGTTTTGTTATTTTGTCTACCTCTTATGAACACTCTTGTCTCCGGACACCTTCTTCTTCAATTCTCTTGAATTCAGGGCCGCCTCGACATCTTCCATAAAGAGTTGATTTCTACTATGAAGATGAGTTTCAACAAAGTTGTCATAAGAGTCAGGCAATGAGCACAAAACAAAAATTGCTTGGTCTTCATCTTTTATCTTCACATCGATATTCTTCAAGTCTAAAATGAGCTTGTTGAACTCATCAAGATGGTCTTTGATGGAACCACTTTCATTCATACTGAGGGTGAACAACCGTTTCTTCAGATACAATCGATTAGTGACTAATTTGGTTAAGTAAAGGGCTTCCAGCTTTGACCATAATGTAGAAGCTGAATTTTCTTCTACAACCTCCCCCAAGACTTCGTCAGAAAGTGAGAGCTGAATTGCACTCAACGCCCACTCCTTCAAGTCTATATTCTCTTCCTTTGGTAGAGTTTCTAGTAGCTTGCCTTCCTTTTCTAATGCTTTCCACAACCCCTGCTGTATTAGCATGGCCTGCATCTTCAACCTCCATAAGCTGAAATTTTTGTCACCATTAAATTTCTCAATCTCGTACTTGGCTCCGGATGCCATCACGATTAAACCAATTTCTCAAGCACCAACCATCGCCATAGCTTTGATACCAGTTTGTTGGAATAAATTGCTTGAGATTTTGGTTAATCCATTACAAGATTAAGAAATTAATGGAATAAAAAAATGCACCACCACAAGAAAGAAAAAATTTACGTGGTTCAACTCCAATTTAATTAATTGAGCCTATGTCCATAGGCACTCACAAGGAAAAATTCATTATTAAAATAGGGAGATACAATTTGTGGTACATTCAGAAAAATACCCAATCCCTAATTACACCCCAATCTTACTCATAGTATTTTTGAATGCGAGACACACTCAAAAAACACTTAGCAAAGTAATTTTAACCACTCTGCTCTTGCTCACCCTCACCCAAAGCACTCACAAAACTCTTGTATTTTCTAGAGCTCACTCTGCTTTGGATTGCTCTTCTTGGTGTGATTTG